ATTCGCTGGATTACTGTCGGTTCACAGGCCTTTTATCTTTCTGACGTAGATAAACAACTGCCGATCTGTAGGAGAGGAACCAGGGGGACACACTACAGAAATGAGGGAAGAAACTCTTTTAGCCGTTGAAATATTTGTATTCTTTAGAGCTCCTGCCTAAAGACCGTCTTCCTTTCAGGGGCTAGGCAAGACAGTTCTTCGTTATGCTGTTCGTTACGAGTATAAAACGCGGATTCCGGGCTTTATCTTAATGGTATGCTTTTTTTTGAACCGGTGTCAATCCCAAAAATGTCGATAGAAAGTCTGATTTGTGAGAATGCTGATTTAACTCATCCAGGAGAAGTCATTCTTCGTCTGTTGTCTGCTTCAAGAAGTAAGAGACAACACAAAGAATCATACAGTACACTTCCTTACGTACATATATTGAAAGACATTAGTTGGCAGAGTCCTTGGAAGTCTACGGGTTACATATAAGATTCTCTGTGGTATTGATTTGAGGTGCGTATGACATTGGTTCCTGAGAATGCATTGCGTGACAGTAGCCGTTAAACTGGCCTGTGAGATTCTAATCAAGTTTTTGATAATTGATAACTTTTGAGTGGGAATATGTCCTCAGGAACAACGCAGTCCCGTTAAAATCGAGACGGAAAATTATTAAACGGAACACTGCCAGACCTAATCAGCTGGCATGGTTCGCTTGTTTATACCCGCCTCTTTTGCGAGCCAGTGTTTGCTGGCTCTTGCTGTAAAAACGATCCACAGTTGTTAATATTCTGATTACTTCCGACAGTTATACATAGTTATATATTAATTTGAATCTAATGACAGGTATTAGCGTCGTACGATGTTTTGCTTCGTGTTGTTCGTACCTTGTTGGCTTCTACTTTTTAATTTTCCGATAGAACTTATGAAATGCTTAAGGACTGATAGGATCAGATATGTAACGAAATTAGCGCTGTAGTCAGGGGCCATGAAGATTTTCTTCAGGTTGGTGTATTCTTTCTTCAGAACGCAGGTGATTGCACAGTTTCATAATTGCGGCCTGTGGTTCATCAATCCATCCTTGTTGCTCAGTACGTTTCTCGTGTATACGTTGCTATCGAGAGTGGTAATGCATCATTACCGGTATGGACAAAATTAATTCGCAATTTATTCCCGTATGATATGAGCTCGAGCTAATTTGCTTTCCCATTCATGTGTGGTTTTTACCTCTTTTCTACCTAAGCATCAGTTTACGTCCGACACAGGGACTGTGTTAACTGAGACATGCAGGAGATAGTGCTAAAGTTTAGCTGGAAAGGTAGACTTAGTAATATTCCAACAAAAGCGATATTACCAGCTGGGACTGAATTGGAACCAATATGCTAGTCCATTTTAGACGATGGCATATATGCTTGCTTTAGGGACATGATATCTGTCATTGTTTGACCAGAATAGCGTACATGTATTAGCGGCTTGTATCTTGGTTCGTGGCAGTCTGGAGCTCCA